CCTGTTCAGGTTTAAAAAAAATAAAGGATTTATTAGGTCTAACCCGATAAAAAATATAAATCAATTTATGACTTAGTCGATAAAATACAAGTAAAAAATTATTTAACTTTATTTATTTATTTATTTTAATCAAAAAGAGGTTGCTTTGATTTTTTTTAGAAAAAATTAAGTCAACTTGGGTTGACTCTCCCAGCCCATGACCTAGACTTTGTGTGCTAGCAATCAATGCAAAATGCTCCATGGTCCCGAATTAGACTAAATAATTTATTTTAACTTGTGTTTGGTAGATGTTGAATAAAATAAAACAACATATTATTATGACAAGTTGCTCTAGGCCTTACAGACCTTAGATGTAGACCTGTTCAGGTTTAAAAAAAATAAAGGATTTATTAGACCTGACCCGATAAAAAATATAAATCAATTTATGACTTAATTAATAAAACACAGGTAAAAAATCTTTCAACTTTATCTATTTATTTATTTTGATCAAAAAGAGATTGCTTTGATTTTTTTTAAAAAAAAATAAGTCAACTCGGGTTGACTCTTCCAGCCCATGACCTAGACTTTACTCTTGATCAACTCTTGAGTCGGATTTTAAAATTATGATATTAACTATTTTTATCATTATCTTGTCCAATTCAACTTTAGTTGACTCTCCCATACTGTGACTTAGACCTATTTTCTGGTTGAACTCCTAATCAGGTTTTAAATTTATAATAATAATCATTTTTATTTCTATATTTACTCGGATCAACTTGAGTTAACTCTCTTGATTCGTAACCTGAGTCTTGTCCCGTGTTAACCCTTAAGTTGTGTTTTAAAACTATGACAATAATATTTTTTATTCTTATGTTCACTCAACTCAACTCGGGTTGACCATCTTGACTAGTCACCCGAGCCTTGGCCTAATCGACCTCGAAATCGAGTTTTAAAATTGTGATAATAATTAATTTTATCTTTATATTGACTCGGATCAACAATCAACCTAACTCGTGACTCAGGTCTTATCTTGGATCAATCTCCAAGTCAAGTTTAAAAATTATGATGATAATTATTTTTATCATTATATTGACCCCAAAAACCCCGAGTTAACTTTCTAAACCCATAACCTGAGTTGACTTTTGAGTTGAGTCATTACATATTAATTAAATTACTAGGTCAATTATAAAGGTATGTATTAACAAAAATAAAAATAAAAATAAAAAAAGAATTGGTCTGACTTGACCGAGAAAAGATTAGAGCTAACTCGTGACCTATGTAAAACCTATTGATTTTTTTTTTTTGATGTTTTGATCGTTTCAAAAAAATTGATTTTAAATGAAAGACATTATAGTCATTCCATAAATAACAATCCCTATATAGAGAAATCAACAAACTTATCGTGCTGTTATTAGTGGGACAAAAATCTCTCTACTAAAATGTTTTTAAACAAAATAAAAAATAATTTTTATATAATTAAAAAAAACAACAAACAACTTCACAAAAAAATTGTCTTATACCATCTATCTTTGCCGAATGTACACAGTGAAGGTGATATCTTTTCCCCAACAATATATTAATCTTGTTTGGTTAATAAAAACAGTTGGATCTCATTAAGAACTCTTTCTTAATCTTTGTTAAAAAACACTATAATTTATAATTTTTTTAATATTTTTTTTTAAATTACAGCATCAAAAGCTATTATAATATCAAATACACACTAATATAATATTTTATTTTTCCTTGTCAATAGAAATATTTCTTGTGTGAAATTTAGCATTCCCTTTGTTTCTATTTTATAAAGAAATCATCGTTTTCTTCGTCATGTTTAACAAAATGAGAGAAAAATAAATAATTTCAAGGATTATATAAAAGGGTTAATGTAAGACGATCCTCTAAAGTGTATTAACTGGCTAGAACAAATGACTTAATAATTGTTTACAATTAATTTTTTTAATGTTGAAAGCAAAGTACTAATAACTACAGTTTTTTAAATTATTGTAATGAAGGAGGATTCAATACTAAACAAAACAAATCTCGAATCTTCATATAAATTGAGCATTTGGAGTAAATCGGTGCTAAGGGTATATCCTTGCACTCGTACTCATTGTTATTAAAATTACTAATTAATATAAAATTGTATAATTTTATAAGTTAATATGTATTTAATATATAAAATCAAATTAAAAACTTAAAAACCAATAAAATTAAAGTTAATTTATATAAAATTAGTAAAATCAGTACATTCAGTTTGAGTTGATTAAATTTATGATATAATCCAAGTTAGATTCAAATTTGATCTTAAAATATTTATTAACCAGTTTTGTGATATTGAACATATCTTTCAAACTATACATTGGATAAAGCTAAAATTTTATAGAGAAATATCAAACATATAAAAATATATTGTGATAAATTTTTAGGTTAAATAAATTTCGGAAATATAATATTTCATAGGTTCAAAGTTAATAAACAAATTTTATCAAATATATCAAACGAGACCTCGATTAATTGTTTGTGACATATTTGGTGTTATAAGTGAAATTTTGCTGTGATTAATGTTGGGATGAGAACTAGACATTTAAAACTTTCCAATTATATATCGTAGCCCTAGTAATTCACCCAGATAAAAGAGAATGATATGTTTGAAATCAAGACTTAAATCTGTCAAAAATATATGAAAATTAGATATTCGGGCTTTATAGAGAAATTTTAACATGAAAATTTCTTTATTATTCTATTTTATTTATTTATTTTTAAATAATTATTTTTAATTTGAATTATTTCTAGTATATTAGACATTGTTTAGGAGTTTAGTTCTTTATTAAATTTATGTTAATTAATTATGAGTTTAGACTCATTAGCTTTCAATACAAAAAGGGACCATTAGATTCATGTTTATTTCTTATCATTAAGTGATTTCTTGTACTGATAAGTTTTGTTTTAAAACTTTTTATTTCTCATGTTATTACTTTATTAATTCATGTTATCTATCTATCCTTTTTTATTTAAATCATTCATTACTTATAATATTGTTGACTTTCTTTATTAGATTTTAATGTAATTTAATATCTTAGTTGGAATTATCAATATATAATTAATTAAAAAATTACTTGTAAGTTTACAATTCAAGTTTATATTGTATTTTTTATATTGTATCAAAATTTTTTTTTTTTTTTAATTATTGTAATGAAGGAGGATTAAATACTAAATAAATCGAATCTCGATTCTTCATATAAATTGAGCATTTGGAGTTAATCGGTGCTGAGGGTATATCCTTGTAGTCGTACTCATCATATTGGGTTTTGTTAGGATTATAGTTGCTAAAAACAATCCTTGAAACTGTCCTGGATATCCCGTTTTTTATTCCTTTCGACGAGTGTGATCCAACCTGTTCTGTATATCCTGTCAGGACAACAGAACTTGCAATAACATTCTAAAATTAGGCATGTTTGTGCTCTATAAAATGCCAGCAATGAGATGCAAATGCAACACAGAACATCACAGCAAGAAGCCTTTAATTTCTTTCGTTTGAACAATGGGTTCCAGGAATGCTAGTGTTTTGTTTTTTGCTCCCATTGCCTTGTTTCTCTTCCTGCATTTTCCCTCTCAAACCGAGGCAACAATCCCAACAGAATTGGTGAGCAAGGTCTGTGCACAAAGCGAAAACCATAGCTATGAAATGTGCGTGAAATTCCTGATGGCCAATCCAAAATCATTGATGGTGACCAGTGCCGAGGCGGTTGCAGAGAATGCCTTGGATATGGCAAGAAGAGAAACAACTGATGCAAGCTGTTTCTTTGCAGCCTTGCTCAAGAGAAAAGACATAAACCCTGCATCTAAGGCAGCCCTCGAGAGTTGTTCATCCTTTTTCAAACAATCAGTTACATTCTTTAACCTCGATGGGCTATCAGGCGGGACTGCAAGCTTAGACCTGCATTATGCTTTTGATAAAGCCACGGAATGTAAATCAAGATTATCGGCAGCCCATGTTAGTATCAAATCTGTTACTGACAAGCTCGAGGAATGGAGGAATTTCTATTCGATTGCCTCTGCAGCCGTAAATGCAGTTGAAAACCCCGAGCATTGATTCCTGCGGATTTGAACATTATGGATGATGATATTAATGTATCATTGATATGAATTTTGTCTTCAATAAAAAGTGTTTTCGTTCCTTTGTGTCTTCAATGTTTGCGGACAAGTATACATTGAAGGAAACTCTTACGAAGGTTGAATATGAAGACAGTGCTCGAGAGTGTATTAGCAGGTTAAAACAATGGCTTAATTAGCAAATAGCTTTTCTGGAACCCAGTTTTTCACCATAATTTGAGATGAAAAACATGTTTAAACGATAAAACCAAATGATTTTTGAAGTTTTCATCGCAGGTTTTGTCAGGATTATAATTGTGAAATTTGGCATGCAACGTTGATTTGAAAAATCCAAAACTCAAAACTTGATTAAACTGAATTTTTAGTTAAAATAGACAAGATATGAATTAAAAAAATAAGTTGTTTCTGATGAATTTTCAGTAACTTTCAAACTTCGTAGAGTCAATACTTAAAAAAATATAATATTTTTTTTTTATGATAAGTAATCCCATGATTCAATAATTCAAAAAAAAATTCTATGTTATATGATTTATCACACGAGTGTATCCAAACTGAAAATTTATCGTCAAGACAACTCTCCCCGTGTTTATCTTCACTTTGGGCTAAAGCTTAACCATAAGAAACAGTTGGGCTGATATGTCCTCCACTTTGGATCAACTGGGCTCGTATGGCCCATGTTTCATATTCCGAGCACACCCCTTACGCTACCCAACTCGACCTAGTCTGCATATGTAATTAGCCACAAGATTAGGGATACAGTTGGAAACCATATCTCTATCAAACCCTAACCCTAGCCTCCCATCTTTTCCCTTTTATAAACCCTAACCCCCGCTCTTTCTTCAAAACTTTCCTGCTGTTTCCCCCTCCTAACAAACTAGTTGTCAAGCTCCTCCTCCCTCTCTGTGTTTACTGTTCTCGTTTTTTTTCTCTTTGGATGTTTAATTCAGATTGCTTGCCTTAGCTATGATGATAAATGTTTATAATCCCAGCTCATTATGAGGCCTTTTTGTAAGGTCAGGGAATTTACTCTTTCCAACATTTATCTGAGCTTTTACATTGACTTTAACCTAAATTTCTCATCTGGGTTTATGGTCTTACTTATTTTTGTTCTTAATTTTTGTGAATTAATTTTCCCCGTCATACGTAATGCGGTGGTATCACTGATCGTACACTGACTGAAAACAGCGCCATGAAGTTACTGAGGTGACATGTTGTCCGTGTCATAATATGTGTGCTTGGATTTAGTATCTTTGGTGTTTTAAGCCTTCTGGGGTTGCTTTAAATCCTTGAAAGGCCACGCTGGTTTAACTCAGTTGTCTTGTTGTTGAAAGTTCATGTTTTTGCTGTGTCATAAATTTTAGATTTTGCTTTAAATCTTGTTTTTCATTTATTTTAACAATAGATTTTGTAATGACTTCATGTCTTCGTGTGCTGGGCCATGCCCTGTTTGCTGTCAGTTGGCTTGTAGTAGTTTAAGGTTTGTTTATGGTAATTGAAACTAAACTTGAATTGATGGATGTTCCCCGTGATGCTTAAATATGAACCATGCTAATGCTGATCATTGAATGACTGATACTCTTTCTCAATCTTGCTGAGGGAACAATTGCTCTAATTTTTCGTTATTACATTATATTTCTTTAGTTCATCCTGGTTTTTGGATTGTGAACTTTTAATTAACTTGATGAAACAATCAAGTTCCCAATTTTTCTTCCATGAAAAACTGCCTTCGAAGTGCCATGGCAAACTATAAACATTCTGGTTTAGTTGTCCAAATCCATCTACGAGCATGGCTCTAGAGATATTCTATCTTCCTATGGTCTAAGTTTTATTTTCAGAAAGCCAATATCTTCAGATAGGCCTAGCAAGCATTTAGTCCTAAAAACATGCTCTAGTGGGTGATGCTCGAAGAATAGGATATCTTCGAACATCAAAGGGTTTGCTTCGAAGGGTTTTGCTCAAGTAATGATGTCTTACGTGTCCAACTACCAATTTCTCTTTTAATATAAAAAAAATAATAAATATATTTTTCTGGGAGTGGACTCCGTTGGGTCTGTACTAGGTTGAAGAGGCCGCAAGATCGTGAATGTTTTGAATTATTGAATACCAAAAAAATCCCAAACAGTTATAGCATTATAGAGATGTTTGGAGTTTCTTGGTCTGTATTGCGTTAGCTTTAAGTTGTTTTAGTACTTTGAGGATCTCTGTGGGATCCTTTTTTAAACATTTTGCTGTTATTGCTACCATTTAGTACAGAGAAAATAGTAGGAATCGCGACTCTAAAAGAACCTCCAGGAAATTGGTTAGCAGCATGGTGTTTTTCAGTAGGAGAGGAAACAGTAACGTCGTCGTCGCGACTTTCTTTTGTTCATCACTACACTAAACATATCACACTCATCATCAAGACTTGGGAAATCATACATTCCCGCCTTCAATGCATTCAATAACCAAATGATCTTTATCATGAAAATTAGTTCAAAGAGCAAAGAACATGAAAAGCGAGAAAGTAACGAGGAAGGCGAAGATCAGAAACGGTAAGTGACGCTTGTTTGTTTCGCAGAAGATAATCGTATAAGAAAGCCAGCAGCTCTTCTGAATTGAAGTTATTTCCTGAAGATGTAGTTTGTGCAGCTTCTGTGCATTTGTCATAAATGAGAAAGGAAGATGTTGGGAGCTTGCTAATAAGATGACTGGAAGGAGCAGAACGTTGGATCCAGAGATTGGTTATGCGAGCCTTCAACCTTCATCCTTCATTCTACATTTTTTCACCTTAGATTCAACCTTGGTATTGGAATGCCATAAAGTTTTTTCACCTTATGAAATCATGACAATCTGACCATGAAGTTTAGTAACTATATTTGTAAGAAAATAATATAAAAAATATAGTTTATATTATTGGGGTTTATTACTTAATTCAGATTAAATTATGGTCAGCTTGTCGTTCGTTGGTATTCCAATCTCTCTGGGTAAATCAAAAGTTGCATGAAAAATTGTTTGCTATTTTTTTAACCTGGATAATAATCCAGGCCCAGCAGAGAGTCACTAGATGGGCTTAAGAGTACGACACCAATCTTCTATACATCTTGGTCCATCTTACAGATTGGAGGGATTCTTCACGAGCTTTTCGTAACATTGGAGGGATTCTTCACGAGCTTTTCGTACTTTAAGTTGACTCAATAAATTCAGTAATTTATTAATTCAAAGCTCGAGTTTTGGATCATCAGCCTGTTTATCAATTGAATTGAAGCCATTATTTTGACATGGAAGCGCTCGCTGCTGCTGTTGCTGGTGCTCTAACACGAAATAACATTCATGCTTGGCTACACACACAGAGCTCCACAGGAAGACATCATCCTACCTTCTTCAATTTTTCCGTATTCAAACGGGCCTCTGGTTTTGTCCGTTGCCATGGATGTTCTTCCACGAAATGCTGCATTACAGTGACATGATGGATGATGCGTCGCTTGCCTTGGCAACGTCAAGAGATTTTACAAAGTCTTCGAAAACATTGAATTTGGTCTTTTATCGGGCCAGATTCTAAGTGACCAGCAATTTGGTAGAGCAACATTTCTATATTCTAAATTCTTTTTCCCCCGTTTCCTTCTTGGATACGAAACAAAAACATCCTAGTATCCCTGTGAAAAAAATCAAATCTTGATTGCTTAAAACTTTTCCATCCATCTAGGTTTTATTTATTTATTTATTATTATCATTAAAATAACATATGTGTCAGCTGATACTTCGATTTTAAAGACCTGTTTTCACATCAAAATGATTTAATAAATCTCTTTAACCCAAGATTTAAATTTAAAAAACAAGGAAAATGTCATATCTTTTCAACTACCAAAGAAATCCATTGAATTTAAACTTATCTATTTAGTTTTAAGCCATAGATTATATATTTGAAATTTGAAGTATACTTACCATGAATAGAAGGAACAAATAGGCACTAGCCCTGTTTTTTATTCCCTAGTGGACAGCTTCAAAGCCAATTTTAGCCATGAAAAGATGCACAGAAAATGGAAAAAATAAAAAAATCAATGCATGTGCGCACTAGGTTCTGTTCCATGGGACCCACCTCCATCACCGCCATTAAAGGTAGGTAAGCAGATAGGTACGGTCTCTCTGGGTCCCGCAATACTAACCGTACAAAGGTTAGTAAGAAATCGTAGAAGGTGATGTACTCTTCTATTCACCCCACCAGAAAAAGACAGCAGATAAACTATATTTTATTTGGTCCCTGAATCTTGATAAAAGATCACTTCAGAGCCTATAGTTTAAGATCTTAACTTCCAACGGATTTGCTTGATTTGATTTTTGAAAAATATAATCTATCCCCTTACCAACGATTGAGTTTTTGGTTTAGAGTTTGTTCTTATGTTATAATATACATTGAAATTGTTTTTAAAATTATTTTTTTAAAAAAATTATATTGTTTTTTTAATATTTTTGAATGGTTTTGATATGCTAATATTAAAAATAAAATAAAATAATATTAATAAATATTTTTTAAAATCACCTTGCACCATAATATTGAAATTGTTTTTATTTTTGTGTTTTAAAAAAAAATTGAAAAAAAATAATTTTTTTATTTAAATTAATATTTTTTATTTTTTATATCATCTTGATGTGGTGATATTAAAAAATATATTTTTTTAAAAAATATTTTAATATATTTTTTTAAATAAAATATATTTTAAAAAATAACTACCACAATATTTTTAAACACTCTTTGAATACAGTAGAGGATGACATTAATAAAATCTATCATGGTGCTTCTAAAATGAGGGAACGAAAACAATGTCCTTGGTAAATGTTTGTTTGCATTGAAATTATTAAATAGGGAACGAAAACAATGTCCTTGGTAAATGAGGGAACAAGTACTTATAAAATATTTGTTTTACATGATAAAATGTTTTGTATTTTTTATTTTTTAATGTGCAATAAATATATAGCATACAATACAAGGCCCAATTCAAAAGCTTTAAATTTAATTTTACTTTTCTTGTTGTAGCCTTAATTTTAAATTTTTATATTGAAATGTTATGATATTATTTGAAACATTTTTGTTTAAATCATGAATTTGACTAAGGATTGAACATATAATGAAAAAAAAAAGAATCTAAGGATTGAACATATAATGAAAAAAAAAAAAGGAATTGCACCTAGTTTGTAAATTATTATTTAAAATATTCATGTGCTTTTTTTTATATATCAATGATTGCATATAAAATCATATATTCAAAGATTTACGAGAGGTAAAAAGAGAAAATAATTATAAACATCACTAATATATGTTTGAAATCATGGTTTGAGTTTTTAGTAAATGAAAAAACCAGTCTATAAATACTTTTTAACCTATTTTTCTTTTCAATGTAGTAGGTCGTTAAACTAAAAGAACTTGAAACTATGATTTTAATAATTTTTGCTTTGTTTAATATTTCAAAAACATGATTGGAATCAAAATCATGGTTATTAAAAATCAATCCCAAGCACAACCGCTAGATATCTAACAACCATTAACGATTTAGGGATTTAATTGAGCGTTAAAACTATAAGAGTTGAAATAGAATACTTCTTCATCTATAGGGGTCAAAAACTAATTTACCCTGAGTAGAAGCTTGCTTTTGTGAACTTTTTCCTGATTCTAATCTTTACCGACACGTGTCGTGCGGTGGGGCAGGGAGCACTGTTTTCACGACTTTTAATGCAGAACACCTCTTGACCAAAATGCCCTGATTATTTCTTCCACGTGGGCTTCTCTGGCTCAGCATATGTCCACGTACATTCGAGAGATCAAACAATTAAAGGATGTTTTGGTCAATTCATGTACTCCAAGAGAACCGCTTTGGATTTTTCCTCTTTTCTGAGCAAAATCAGCTGTGGAAGGCCTGAGAATCTCTAAAATGAACCAAGGAATAAAAACAGGACATGTAAAGTAAAGTCAAATAGTTGAATTCTTGCCATGATAATCAAATTATTGGAACCCTGAACTTTTACCATAGTAATTTTTGTTTTTATCCGATTAAAAAATAAAATTTAGCTAGATAGCTTTTAATTTTTATAGTTAATATTATATATAATTGTATTTTAAACATTAATTCTATAAAGCTATAATAATATCCATTAATTTATTTTATAATAAAATTTTTTTATAATAATTTTAATCAAATATAAATTTTTTAAAATTATAAGTAAAAATATTTTTTTAAATCACAATCATCATAACACCAAATTCATATTAAAGGATTATTTAAAAATATAATAATAGTTATTTTTTAAAGTATTTTTTCTCAGAAATATATCAAAATAATATTTTTATAAAAATTATTTTTAACATTTATATGTCAAAATAATTTAAAAATATCAAGAAAATATTAATTTTAAAAATAATAAAAATAATAAAATTTAATTTTTTAAAAAATATTTTTAAAATATAAAACCAAAGGGGTCCTAAGTTTGGTGAAGTGATAGTAATTTATATATATATATATATATATATATATTTTTTTTTTTTTAAGAATAATTTTTAAAGTTGACGTGTTTTTATTTATAACTTGCAATTTATTGGATTTTTCATAATTAAATTTAAAAAGTATTCTTGGAAATTGTTTGATCCACAGAAGCACATAAATTTAAAATTACTCAAAATCAATCAAATTTAAATATAATACATAAATGGAAATTTTAAATGCATATATTTGGACGTACCATTATCAATTTTTCTTTTTGGAATATGATTAAGTATTAAGGTTAGTAATAGGTATTTATGGGTCTAGTTTTCATTATATTATATACCTCTATTTCATTCATTGATTTTTAGATATACATATAAATGTTAATTATCCTAATATTATTTACTACTCAATATAAAATAAAATAGTAGTACATTAATTTTGATATTATATGTACCTTATTTTTTAATTCATCAAATTAAATATAAATATCAAAACATTTTCCTGTTTGTTACCCATACCAAGTAGTTATAATGCAATTGTGGTCGCCCAGACATCAAACAATTCTTCCATCTTCTCCGTCTCTACTTCTTCACTGCAACACAAACATATTCATCTTCACCAACCTCATCGGATTTCCTTTCCTTCTCATCGTCAACCGGTCCCTGGAAAAAGAAAATGAATTGGATCTTCAAAACTTGTCTCAGCCTTGCTCGAAGCCTCTCTAAACCCTCCCACCATCCTCTCCTCCACCTCCGCCTCCTCTTCCTCTTTGTTCCCACCTAAAAACCACCGCCCCACAATCCTTAATTCCCTCAAAAATCCCAAAAAAAATACACAAACCTTAATTTCCTCGAAGAACCAAGCTTATTGAAAAAAAGAAATCCTTCTCGAAAACTAGAAATTTTTTGCTCAAACTACGTTCTTCATCGGAAGAATCGAAATTCTTGCTTGCTTACAGCGTCGGAAAGAGAACTCATTTCTTCAAAATCAATGTCAACTCGGTCTACACCTATACTTTCTGTCTTAACAGAAGATTTACTCATTCGGATCAACGAGAAACTCGTTCAAGACTCAGATCGCAAGACATGGAGGCTCATTTGCAAAGAATTACATCGAGTTGACTCACTCACACGCAAAACTCTACGTGTCCTTCATGTTGAGTTCTTATTAACTCTCCTCAAGAACTACACCAACCTCCACACTCTAGACCTCTCAGTCTGTCCACGTATCGACGACGGGACTATATCGTTGGTGCTACATCAAGTTGATCACTCGATATGGGCTAGGAATTTGAAGTGTTTGAACTTGAGTAGGGCTAATGGGCTGAAGTTTGCGGGGCTGGAGATGTTGGTGGGTGTTTGTAAGGTTTTGGAGAGCGTTGATGTGTCCTATTGTTTTGGGTTTGGTGATAGGGAGGCGGCAGCGATATCGGGTTGTGGAGGGTTGAGGGAGTTGAGGATGGATAAGTGTTTAGGAGTAAGTGATGTTGGGTTGGCTAAGATTGTTGTTGGGTGTGGAAGATTGGAGAGGTTGAGTTTGAAGTGGTGTATGGAGATAAGTGATCTTGGTGTTGAGCTTTTGTGTAAGAAGTGCTTGGAGTTGAAGTTTCTTGATGTTTCTTATCTCAAGGTTTGTTTGCGGTTTACTACGTTGATTTTGTATTTGTGTTTGATGTTGTTCAGCTTGCCAAGTCACTTGGAGATTTAAGATCATAGTTTGTTTCATGAGAAAATGTAGATGCAGGATAATGTGGGTTTATAAGTTGGGGAAAACAGGGAAAATGGAGAGAAACGTGATTTGTGTTTTTGAATTACTAACATTTTCCTTTTTGTTAGGCAAAAAATTGGATGAGATATATGTTGAGCGAATTTGGGAAAATTTTCCGCCTTGATGTGCATTTTGCAATGAACTGGATTAAGTTAGTGTTAATGCATGTAATGAAACTTGATGGGTTGGCTTCAGGTGACGAGTGAATCGCTGCGTTCTATTGCTTCTTTGCCAAAGCTGGAGGATTTGGCTATGGTGGGATGCCCTTTTGTAAATGATGTTGGATTGCAATTTCTTGAAAATGGATGCCCTTTACTGCAGGTATCATACTTACAATGTGATGGGGTAAATTTGAAATTTAAGCTTGTGTAATTGAAGTAATCAATTCTTAATGTTCCGAGATTTGCATGTTCTTTTGGCTGCAGAAAATTGATGTTGCAAGGTGTGATTGTGTCAGTTCATATGGGTTAAGTTCCTTGATTGGAGGACATAGTGGACTTCTGCATATTGATGCAGGTCACTGCTTTTCAGTAAGTCAATGCTAACAATCTGTTGGATTTTTGGATTGATTATCTTTTCAGGTAAACTAAACTAAATTTAATCTGTCTTGCCGGCAGGAAGTTTCTCCAAGCTTTGTCAAGTGCACACAGAAATTGAAGAATCTGAACACTATCATAATTGATGGGGGTCGAGTTTCCGACACTATTTTCCAGACAATCAGCAGTAACTGCAAGTCTTTAATTGAAATTGGGTTGAGCAAATGCGAAGGGGTCACTAACATGGGAATTATTCAGCTGGTGTCTGGCTGTGTCAATCTGAAGACCATCAATTTAACATGTTGCCGTTCTATAGCTGATTCTGCAATATTTGCTATAGCAAACTCATGTAGGAACCTTCTGTGCCTGAAGTTAGAGTCTTGCAATATGATCACCGAGAAGAGTCTCGAACAGCTTGGATTACATTGCTTGCTACTTGAAGTGCTTGATCTCACCGACTGTTGTGGCATAAATGACAGAGGTAAGCTTTCAGGACACGAAGTCCATCACGTGAAGCTATTAGCATGTAGTTGATTTGATGACTTTGTTATTTGTAATCTGCAGGGCTTGAACTCCTTTCTAGATGTTCCAGGCTTTTGTGTTTGAAATTAGGACTTTGCACAAACATATCAGACAAAGGACTCTTTTATATTGCTTCTAATTGTTCAGAGCTTCATGAACTTGATCTATACCGGTAATTTAAGCCAAATAATTGTTGTGATTTTCCTCCCTAGTAGAAATATGAGATGTGATTTTCCTACCTGGTAGAAAGTAGAGTTGACTATTTTTATTTTTTGGACACAGCTGTAAGAATATTGGAGATGGTGGTTTAGCAGCTTTATCAAGTGGCTGCAAGAAGTTAAGGAAGCTGAACTTGTCATACTGCATTGAGGTCACTGACAAAGGGATGAAGTCTCTTGGTTATTTGGAGGAATTATCTGACTTTGAGTTGAGGGGGCTTGATAAAATCACAAGTGTAGGTTTGACAGCATTGGTTACCAGGTGTAAGAGGCTGACCTATTTGGACTTGAAACATTGCGAGAAAATTGATGATTCAGGGTTTCAGGTACTTGCCTATTACTCACGGAACTTGCGACAGGTATTGAATCGTGACTTCAACCTGGAACTGCTATTTCTATTGTAGTATCTATGCTTTTGTATGCAAATTAGAAAGAAAAAAATAAAATGCTAGAAGCAGTTTATACATCTCACGCAGGAGGTCACAAGACATAAATGACATGTTGGGTTTTACTTTTCGGGGGATTGGGGGAATCAGGATATTGCAATGAATAAAAATGAATGCATAGCCATTTTTTTATGGAAAAACTAGGTATTTGAACGAAACTGAATAGAGCTGTCATATTCTAAATATCTACATCGCCTGATTGCATTTCTGTTTCAAGTGGTACAAGTTAGTTTATTTTGGGTGTTAAGGTAGGGAATTCCATGCAAACACAATGAAATGTTTTGATGGTGGCAGTTAAATTTGAGCTACTGTGCTATCACGGACATGACATTATGCATGCTGATGGGAAACTTGACTCGCCTGCAAGATGTGGATTTGGTGCACCTCACAAATGTCACTGTGGAGGGGTTTGAGCTCGTGCTTAGAGCCTGCTGTGTCAGAATCAAGAAGATCAAGTTAGTTGCTGCCCTAAGTTTCTTGCTTTCCTCTGAAGTACAAGGGATTTTGCATGCCAGGGGTTGCAAAATTAGATGGGATTAGAGCAGTTTTAAGAAAGCACTAGAAAGTGATCCACTTGGCTTTATTCTTCCCTTAGGGAGGGTGTTTCATCTTAAGCTTTTGGGTTCATAAGATTTCATGATGAGTATTTTTCATGCTAATCGCTTTGTATAAGACTGCAAGTAATAAGTTGAACTTGATTGGTGAGATCAACAACATTGCAATAAGAATCATTTGAGAATGCAGACCTTTTTTCTCTTTGGTGTGCTTTGAATCAAAGCTCAGTTCTGGTGTATTGGCACAAGTCCTTGCTCATGAAGTCATGAGGTGATTCTCTCATTTATATGTTGAATGCAGTATTCAAATAGTTTGATTGGCTGAGGATGCCATGTTTCCTTCTGGGCTTAACATGTTTTGGGGTGCTTCCTTATCCCTACATGTGTTGGGCCACATATGTGCAAGCCACAATCGGTTCAAATAATACTACCAAGTCAGTGGGATCCTATCTGGGCTCGTGCACACTGTAAATTTTGCAGAGTGCAGCAAACAGTATAGGATTCCACAGATACAGAGAAGCGGTAGGCTTACCTAACAAGGGGAAAATAGTAGAAGAATATCGAACACCGTGACCTCAGAAGCAAGCATAACTTGAACTTTGTCCAAGGAAAAAGGCAGGCAAGAAGGTATACTTCGGAACTCAAAAGGTAATGCCCTTCCTTTGAAAGCAGACAATCCACATTCCCTAAAACGTTTTTCTTTAAAAAGGGCAACCAAACGACTTTCCCCCTCCTATCTTTGCTCAAATCATGGCCTTATCTAATTTTCTTTTTATTTTATTTTTCCTACCTTCTCTTGAAGCTTTATCCAATGAAACCCTATCAGAAGAACAAACATTAAATACACAATCTTTGATTATGCAAGCTTGTAGCGATGTTGAAAACCACAGTTCATGCCTGTCAAATTTGCAAGCTGAGCTAAAAAAGAGTGGTCCTCCTGCAAATTCTATTCTCCATGCTGCCCTTAGGGCAACGCTAGATGAAGCGATGCGAGCCATTGATATGATCACCAAGTTCAATGCGTTGTCTGTCAGTTATCGTGAACAAGTCGCGATCGAAGATTGCAAAGAGCTTCTTGATTTCTCAGTATCTGAGTTAGCATGGTCCTTAAAGGAGATGAACAATATCCGAGCAGGCATGAAGAATGTTCACTACGAAGGAAACTTGAAAGCTTGGCTTAGTGCTGCACTAAGCAACCCAGATACGTGCCTTGAAGGATTTGAAGGCACAGATGGACATCTCGAGAACTTTATCAGAGGAAGCCTGAAACAAGTCACGCAGCTAATTGGCAACGTCTTAGCTTTGTATACTCAGTTGCATAGCTTACCTTTTAAACCTCCACGAAACGATAATGCTACTACTACAAATTCAGGTTCGGATAAGTTCCCAGAATGGATGACAGAAGGTGATCAAGAGCTTCTGAAAGGCAGTTCTCTTGGTATGCACATAGATGCAATTGTAGCTGGAGATGGCACCGGTCACTACCGTACCATCACAGAGGCCATTAATGAAGCTCCAAGCTATAGTAATAAAAGGTATATCATATATGTGAAGAAGGGAGTATATAGAGAAAACATTGACATGAAGAGGAAGAAATCCAATATCATGTTCGTCGGGGACGGTATTGGACAGACTGTGGTCACAGGCAATCGCAATTTCATGCAAGGATGGACTTCCTTTAGAACTGCTACTGTGGGTGAGTATCTAAATATTTGTGCATGCTGTTCATTACATGTTTTTGGCTTCCATCTACATGTTGATACTTGTTCTACAATGATGTTTTTTTTTTCCTTTCTTTCTTGTAGCTGTGTCTGGGAAGGGATTCATAGCAAGAGACATGACATTTCGCAACACGGCCGGACCATTAAAGCATCAAGCTGTGGCCCTTCGAGTTGATTCGGACCAATCCGCCTTCTACCGGTGCAGCATGGAAGGCTATCAAGACACCCTATATGCTCACTCTCTCCGCCAATTTTACCGTGAATGTGAGATTTATGGCACCATAGATTACATCTTCGGCAATGGTGCTGCTGTGTTCCAGAATTGTAAGATATACACTAGAGTGCCACTACCACTACAGAAAGTTACAATCACTGCTCAAGGCAGGAAAAACCCTCACCAAAGCACCGGATTTTCGATTCAAGATAGCTATATTTTTGCCTCCCAACCGACATACTTAGGGCGGCCATGGAAGCAATATTCCAGGACAGTTTTCATGAACACATACATGAGCGCTCTGGTCCAGCCTAGAGGGTGGCTTGAGTGGTATGGGAACTTTGCATTAGGCACATTGTGGTATGGTGAGTATAGGAACCATGGCCCTGGAGCATTACTCACTGGCCGGGTCAAATGGCCTGGCTACCACATCATTCAGGATGTTGCCACTGCTAAATTCTTTACCGCCGCACAGTTCATCGACGGCTTGTCATGGCTGCCATCGACCGGCATCAAGTTCACAGCAGGCTTGATCAATTAATCCACCTTGTATAATATACAGTTTTTTTTTAAGCTTTCTGTTCGAATTTTTTTTCCAACACTATTTAATTTGTATGAAATTGAAGTTTATGGGCCAACCTCGGGCCATCTATCTAGTGGGGATCCAGTTGATCCGAATACGTGTATGTTTGGCTATAATCAAGGCAAATAACTAGTTAGTGTTAATTACTTGAATTTTCGTAGGCGTTTGGCTTATATTTTAGGATTGAAAGAACGAACACTCACTATGAATTTTGCTTCTTAAAATTTGTGATTTGCAGCTTTTGGTATCGATGGGGCCTCGGGATAACTGTTTTTGAAAGTGTATAAATACTTGTTTTTTAAAATATTTTTTTGTTAGTAAATATATTAAAATAATATATTTTTATTTTTAAAAAATATTTTTAATATTAACACATTAAAAAATATAAAAAATATTAATTTAAAATTAAAAAATAAAAAAATTTAAACTTTTTTAAAATCGTTATTCAAACACAAAAATAAATAGAGCTATTAGATTTTAACTCTCTTGTCATTTTAATTCTTGATTAATAATACCATGCTTGTCAAAATTTAATGTGTAGATTTGATGATTGATCAACTTAAAACTTCATCTAAGAATTTTTTTTTTTAAATTTAATTTAATTAAATTCAACTGATTTAATTAGATAATTCATAATTTAGATAAAACTAAGTAGAACGACCTAATTATTTAACTTCATGAAATTTTTTAAAATATTTTGTTCAGTGATTCGTATCTTGATTTGACGGCCTGCAACTTACATCTTCAACTAAGATAATCACTAGATCAGATTTGATAATTATCATTGATTCTATTGTACCATTGTATTTTATATATGAAAACTGAAACCCATGACCTAAACATTAATAAACACAGGACCTCAAGCCAAGAACTGTCAAAATTTAATGTGTAGATTTGATGATTCATCAACTTAAAATTTGATCTAAAAGATTTTTTTTTTTAAAAAAAATTAATCTAATCAAACTCAACTAATTCAATTAGCTAATTCATAATTTAGTAAAACTGAGCAGAATCTAATCGTATCAGCTTCATGTATTTGTTTTTTTAATATTTTGTTCAGTGATTCGTATCTTGATTTGACGGCCTGCAACTTACATCTTCAACTAAGATAATCACTAGATCAGATTTGATAATTATCATTGATTCTATTGTACCATTGTATTTTATATATGAAAACTGAAACCCATGACCTAAACATTAATAAGCACAGGGCCTCAACTCAAGAACTGAGGAGGAGGAGGAGGAGATCCTAGCAAAGCTTGATCGACGTCGTCCTTCCCAGTCAAGAACTGTCGAGGTGATGACCATCTGAGGCAGAATTAAGCTTGATATTCATGGAACTCAAGTCAAGTAAGAAATAGTCGGATGGAGGTCTTTAACAGGGACACCACTAATCAAAACAATTGATTAATATGTTTGTGAGTGGCATTTTATTTTAAATACCGACTTAGATTTCGGAAGAAATTGTTGAAATTCGATCCATTTTTTAACCAAAAAAATTAATTACAAAGACTTTCAATTATAAGATATACATGATTTATATATATTCTAATTAAGGTCTCATAATTCTCGCAATTTGGCCAAAGCCAATGAAATATAAATGCAACCTTAACTAGGTATATTAAGAAGTCTTAGAGAGTTTAAGATTAAACACATTTGTGTTCGAAATGATTATTTTTTCTTAATTAAGATCTTTAGATATTGTTTAAAGACAATACAAACAGATAATATACATATATAGAAAACGTTTTCATGTACTTTATATTTTTTTTTTAAATTCATTCTAAAATTATTAAAAAAAAAATTTATTTTATATTTTTATCTTTATTCTTCCAATTAAATTTATTTTTTTTCCAGAGTGGTAGAGAAGGTGGCTGAGGGGCCTGCAAGAACTTTTTTCTTTTTTTTGCTAACCTCTCCTTGAATAATTTATAGTTTTGGCCATAAAACTAGTAAAAACTAAATTTTAACCCTCCTAGAAAAAATTTGCTAATTTTTCCCCCTAATTAGATTTCCTAACCTTTCCCCATTTGTCCCCTTTGTCCTCCTGAAACACTACTTCAACGGATTTGTGATGTCTAAAAAAACAACAGAAGTATTTTTAAGTTAGCTTTAATTATGTATCAAAACTAAATAATTTTCCAATAAGATCTTTAATTTGTTTAAACATTCACAAGAATTTACTTTTTTAGGATTTAATTTATGGATGACAAGCTTCATCTGTCCTTGTAGAATGTCATCTCTGGAGCTTGATTGAAAGGTTTAAGACAGTTAATTACCATATTCATCAATCTAAACTCTTGTTATAATTGGATCATGTATCTTCCTCACATATTAAGGTGGCAAAAACACCGAGAGAGAGAGAGAGATGCAAAATTACTTCCTCCACTACAGTTGTGGTGGCACAAGCATGAAGATGAACGCGTTTTAATGCAAGATTACAAACAATTCAATGACCTGTATAAAGCTCCATTTCAACATTTCCATTCACAAAATCTTGTGTCAGCCATGGCTTCCAAGCTAATCACCTTACGCACAACTTCTCTCCTTCTCCTGCTCTTGTGTTCACCCTCTCTTGCAAATTACTCGTTTTCATCCATCTTTAATACACCAGAAACCATTTGTGACAACACACGTTTCACCCATTTCTGAAAATCTTCTTTACCACATAATAAGCCTGGAACCATACATGACTATGCCAAGATTTCATTTCAACAATCTTTGTCCCATGCTCAGTTTTCTTTAGCTTGTTCAACATTACTCAAGGCTTCCCTCAACAATGTACAAATCCACCATTCTTGCCCTTGAAGATTGCCTGTTCTTCGCTCAAGAAAACATAGACTACTTGTCATACGTAATGGAAACTTTAAAGTCTAGTGCTGATGATGCCCTTCAAGGCTACCAAGCTTAAGATTTACAAACCTTGCTTAGTGCAACTTTGACCAACCAGGACACCTGCTTGGATGGGCTTCAATACAGATCATCATCCTCAAGCATCAAGAATGCCCTATTAGTCCCTATCTTGAACGGAACCATGCACTATAGTGTTGCTCTTGCACGTTTTACTCGTGGTTGGGCTCATAGCACAATGAAAGGTAGATATTTAACCGAAAGAAAGCATGTGTTTTCTGACTTGGAAGGTGGTGCAAGCAAAGGCGCAAGGATAAACAGATCTACGAGTCGGTAAGTGGAAGAAGAGTCCTTAAAGCATCAAACCTTACTGGTGTCATGGTGAGCAAAGTGGTGGTTGTGGATCCATATGGATCCGGGAAGTTTCGAACCACTACCGAAGCTGTAGCTGCTGCACCGAATAACACCGTTGCTAGCAATGGATATTATGTGATTTATGTGGTTGCCGGGGTCTGTAACGAGTACGTTTCCATTCCGAAGAAAAAGAAATACCTGATGATGATCGGATCAGGTATTAATCAGACTGTGATTACTGGCAACCGAAGTGTAGATGATGGATGGACAACATTTAATTCAGCAACATTTGGCAAGCTTAACATTTAACTAAGACTTGATTGATCAGGAAATCTTATCCAACGTTATGAGAGTGACAATTTATCTTTGCAGCTGTGCTTGGTCAAGGATTTGTTGCAGTGAACATATATAACGTTTCGGAACACGGCAGGAGCAATCAAGCACCGAGCTGTGGCAGTAAGAAGTGGAGCTGATATATTCACATTTCACAAATGCAGCTTTGAAGGCTACCAAGACACCTTATACACTCATTCTCTTAGGCAATTCTACAGAGATTGCGACATCTATGGCACGATCGATTATATATTCGGTAATGCTGCAGTTTTTCTTCAGAATTGCAATATCTATTCGCGATTACCCTTGGACAGCCAGTTCAATACTCTGACTGCTCAAGGTCGGACTGATCCTAACCAAAACACCGGCACTTCAATACAAAATTGTACCATCAAGGCGGCTAAGGACTTGGCATCAAGTAATAGTTCAACAAAAACATACCTAGGCAGGCCATAGAAGGAATATTCAACAACTGTTATCATGCAGTCTTTCATCGATAGCCTAATCGATCCGGCTGGTTGGTCCGCATGGTCAGGAGATTTTGCACTTAGCACACTTTATTATGCAGAATTCAATAACACTGGTCCTGGATCAAATACTACTAAGAGGGTTCAATGGCCTCGTTATCATGTGATTAGTGGGACTGAGGCGGCTAATTTCACCGTGTCCAACTTCATAGCAGGAGGTTTCTGGTTGCCAGGAACAGGAGTGCCTTGCGTTGGTGGTTTACAGTGAATGTAATGATCATGATGATTTGCATGCTCTTTGTTCTTCCATTTTCATTAATTTTTTTGAATACCATGATTTTGTGGGCTAATTTTGGTACCCTTTGTAATTTTTTTTTAAAGTTGTGTGACCGAATATTTATAAAAACACATTTAACCACACATTAATCGTCACATTAATTGTTTGTATGATTTAGAAGACATTACATGAATTCGATTCACCACTTGTGGTTGGTTCATAATTTAAAATGGTGTCCCAGTGAGCAAAATGGTGGCTGTGGATCCATATGTAACAGGGGATTTTACGACCATTAGCGAAGCTGTAGCTGCGGCACCAGATAACTCTGTTGCTAATGATGGATATGCTGTGATTTATGCGGTGAATGTCTCTATGAAGAGTATGTTTCTTGAGGTGTAACTTCTAACAAATACATCTATGAATTACATCGACATTGTGTCAAACGAGTTTTTCTATATAAACTAGGTTGGTTTAGCTACTATATAAACAATTAATGTTTTTTTTTTTCCCGATCAGTTTTAAGAATTATTGAATTTCAGAATATACAGTTTAAGGCTTGATAAACACTAGTTTCCATCGTTGTACCTACCGCATTTCCATCCCCAATAACAAGGAATAATTGATGATGATTAGAGAAGATATATATTACAGGACGGCGGTAACCGGCAACTGGAGTGTAGCTGACGGGCGGGCTACATTTGATCCAGCAAAATTCAGTATGCTGAAACTTGCAGCAATATCGATCATGTGACATGTTTATTATATATTGAGTCCAGTAGCCTTAATTTCATTGACAGGGTAAATGATCAGATCATAAGGTAAGGCATATGACCCTTTAGCTTATTCACAGCGCCAAATCTTATGCTGTGCACCAAGATTCGTGTCCTCCGAGAAGAAGCTTCAGTATATTGTAGCCATTCTTGCAGTGAGTTTGCAGACTGTGACCTATACAGGAACGTTGATTTCATACTTGGTCTCCAAATTTTCGATATTTATCAGGAATTACCAGTGGACAAAATGTTCAATGCAATAACTTATCAAGGCAGAACAGATCAATGCATAATTGTTGCCACTGAAGCAGCTAACGACTTCGCCTCAAGTAAGGGTACTACAAAAAAAACCCAGGCAGGCCTTGGAAGGAATACTCAAGAACTGTTAACATGCAGTCTTCGTCGATAAGCTAATCTAACCGGCTGGTTGGGCAGCATGATGTGGAGATTTTGCTCTAATTACACTTCAATTATGCAGAATTCAAATAACATTGTTCTGATGAAAAAAAGAATCTTTTTAAGAAATATTTTGAGAACAAAAATTGTTAACCATTAATTAGTCTCTTAATGCAGTGGAAAAACCTCTTTCCACAGAAATAGAAACACATAAAACAGGTTCTGCATCAGAATAGCAATATATTTATTTCTGCAAGTTGCGATTGAGTTGCCATCTGCTATACAGCAATGCTAAGATACGACCTCAGAAGCAACAGATAAGCTCAATGCGCGCATCTAATTCTAAAAATAAACAGACTAACTTTTTCTTAAAATTTGGATGGTGTATACTACACGGTAGAATACGAGTATTTATCCATTATTAGAAGAGCTACATGTAAGTGGTCAATCACCTAAAATTAAGATGAAACACCAATAAAATTGTCCCTCAAAACTACAAGCTGTAGAGCTCCATTTTTAGGAAACTATGACAATGATCTAGCTTGTCTTACGTTGTCCCCTTTTCCTCTGTACCTCAAAATTTGGAAAACTATCATTCTTTCAATCTCTTATAAATATTCCTCTTCCTTGAATCACTTCAACTTAAGTAGTTCGGGCTTCAAAATAAAGGGGAAGGCCAACCGAGCTTTGCCCCACTACAGATAAAAGAAAACAAAAGCTAGGGAAAGACAGCGAGATCATTTTCTTCAGCTTTCTTGGCATTGAAGTTATTGATCCATAGTTTTATTTTTTTAAGATAAAAATGTCTTATGGGGATGATTCAAACAGAAAGAGGAGAATAGCCGTCATTGGCATCTCTTCTTTCCTCTTGGTAGCTATGGTTGTAGCTGTCTCCGTTGGCGTCGGTCTTGGCAATAACGGCAATGAGGACCTCAATGACAGCAGTCATAAAAGCACTAATCAAGTATCTGCCTCCATGAAAGCCGTCAAGGCCATTTGCCAGCCCACAGATTACAGGAAAACATGTGAAGAAAACCTCCAAAAAGCTGCTGGAAACACCACAGATCCTAGAGAATTGATCAAGATGGCATTCAAGATTGCAGAGAAGCACCTTAATGAGGCTTCCAAGAAATCAAAGGTTTTGGAGGAACTCTCAAAGGACCCAAGAACCCGAGGGGCCCTTCAGAGCTGCAAAGAGCTTATGACCATGTCCGTTGATGAGCTCAAGCAATCTCTTAACAAAGTAACAGATTTTGATATTACCGAGATAGAAAAATTGATGGCAGATGTTAAGACTTGGCTTAGTGCTTCCATCACATATCAAGAGACTTGCTTGGACGGATTCCAAAACACAACCACTAATGCTGGAAAGGAAATGAAGAAGGGATTGAAGCTTTCCATGGAGCTTAGCGCCAATCTCCTTGCCATCGTTTCCGGGATCTCTTCCGCAATCCCTTCATTGGAAAGTTTGGGCCAGCGCCGCCTTCTCCAAGATGATTTACCTGTTCTTGGACATGGTGATCAAATATTCCCCACCTGGACTGACTTTGGAAAGCGCAGACTTCTGGCAGCGCCTGCTTCGAAGATTAAGGCTGACATTGTTGTGGCTAAGGATGGAAGTGGAGATTTCTCAACTATCAGAGAAGCATTGCATCATGTTCCCATTAAGAGCAGCAAGACCTTTGTGTTATACATCAAGGCAGGAATTTATCAGGAGTACATTGATTTCAATAAGAGCATGACTAATTTGATGGTGATTGGAGATGGCAGGGAGACTACTCGCATAGTCGGAAACAAGAACTTCGTCGATGGAATCAACACCTATCACACTGCAACAGTCGGTACGTAAGCCTGAATTCAAAATTCTGTACAGTATTCCCAAATTTAACACATTCAACAACGATGTATTGGAATTTTACAAATTGCCTGATTGTTTACAGTTGTCCTCGGAGATAACTTTGTGGCCAAGAATATTGGTTTCGAGAAAAATGCTGGTGCCATCAAACATCAAGCTGTGGCATTGAGAGTTTCGGCTGATTATGCTCTCTTCTACAACTGCTCAATGGACGGACACCAGGACACATTGTACACAGACGCCAAGCGTCAATTCTCCCGCGACTGCAGCGTCTCCGGCACCATCGACTTCGTCTTTGGTCACGCTTCTGCAGTCTTCCAAAACTGCAAATTCTTGATCCGCAAGCCATTGGAAAACCAACAGTGCATTGTGACAGCTCAAGGCAGGAAAATGAGGAGGCAACCATCAGCTATTGTCATCCAAAACAGCACAATCACAGCCCATCCTGACCTATTCCCTGAAAGGAAACTATTCAAGTCATATCTCGGGCGTCCATGGAAGGAATTCTCAAGAACAATCATCATGGAATCCTTCATTGATGATGTCATCCAGCCCGAAGGATGGCTACCTTGGCTCGGAACTTTCGGACTCAAGACTTGTTGGTACACAGAATTCAACAACAATGGTCCTGGTTCTAGCAAGGCAGCTCGTGTGAAGTGGAATGGTATCAAGACCATCGATCGTCAACACGCCTTGGATTTCACACCAGGAAGGTTCTTCAAGGGCGGTGCCTGGATCAAGACTACCGGAATCCCCTACACGCCTTTCTTGGTCAGAAAATGAGCTCGGAGAAGGGATTGACTTGAGGGTGTTTTTCCTTCTCTTCCTCTTCTAAATTTTCGTGATCTATGTGCATGTAATGCCAATTATTGTTCCCCTGATTAGACCTCGACCGAAGTCTACAATGATCATTTATTAACTTAAATCATTAATTAGATTACTTAATTACTTGTCTCCCTCACCGTTCTTTCTTTCAAATATTGAAAACGAAAGAAATATTTTTTCACAATCTCCTGTTCACTTTTTTTTTTTTTTTTTTGCATATATACGCTGATTTGCTTATCTTCATGTTTATGTATCTTGTGCAAGATTAGAGCCATGGCCTTGTATAAGTCAGGCCATGTAATGATAATGGACATGAAATAATTTTAGAGATCGTTTGATCTTTGATACAGTAGTAATTATTATTTTATAAAGTATTTTTTATTTAGAAATATATTAAAATGATTTTTAATTTTTTAAAATTTATTTTTAATATTAGAACATCAAAATAATTTTAAAAAATTAAAATTTCACAAAAACCCCTTTTAACAGTAAAACAAACGAAGAAATACCCATTTGAGAACACAGCCAACAAGTCTTGTAAGATTCCTTTATCTAACTGGGGCACCCTGAGTTTTCTCAATCATGGCCCTAATATGATGCCCTCAAGCGAAATTAAAATGGATAAATTCTATAAAAAAAATTAAAAAAAATCCATATACCATTTTTTTATGTACTTAATTAAAAACAAAATGCATTAGCTAAAACACTAATAAATTACTGATAAATTGTCATTTAATTGCTTTAAAGGTGACATGAGGAGTCATATAAAAATACTAAGGTTAAGAGTATTTGTATGTTTTTTTATTAAAATATTAAAAGTAATTAATTTTAAAATGGATTTCCTTTACATTCTTAAAAAAAAAAGAATATACAAGGAAAAAAATAGTAGATTTCACTTAAATATTTATGATTTTATTTTCCAAGCGTTAAAGCCACATAATTTTTTTTTCTCAAAAAATTAATTGAGTTGATAAATATTACAGATTTTATGAATAAGTCACGAATCATGCTTCTAAATTTTTCCGGTGCAAAATATCATATGTTATAAATAATAAATTATTACTAATATTTTAGTATTGTCACATGATATTGTAACTTTAATATTAAAGATATGTTTTAAAAACTAAAAATTATGGCAATTATTGATTCCAATTACTATTTGCAAGTGAGATCTTCAAGATATCTTATTTTAGAAAGTATATAATGTAAAATACAAAATTTGAGCCAAATACTGAAGACAAATAAAATATGGACTTACTCCTTTTCTTGTGTGATCTTTTTAATTTTATCTTAATATTTTTTTTGAAAAAAACATTAAAATGAATTTTAAAGGTTAAAATTAAAGAGTAATTAAGATGGAATAGAAACAATAAATTATGGAGTTGGAAAGACACTATCCTTTGAAGAAAAAACTAATCTTATTTCTAATTTCTAAAGAAACCTGTTTGAGAAAGAAATGATTACACATCAAAGTTATAGTATTCAACTTACACGTATTAGATTTTTTTTTGGATTTGCCATGAGATGTAAAAGAGATAGAAAAGTTTGGGTTTGGAAGTTATCATAGTTATAAAAATCAATTTAATTTTTTAATCAGGTTATAGATGAGAGAAAGGATTTTGTGAAAAAAAATAGAGTTGATAATTGAGTTATAATAAAAAATTAAATTTTATTAATTTTATTTTTAAAAAGTTTACAAATTAAAGGTTAAGTTTTGACAGAATAAATATATCATCATAAAATTTTAATTAAATTAAATAATTTTTTTTAATTTTTCTTCAACTCGGATATGTTTAAATCCCTCAGTTGATCAAATAAAAATTTTATAATTATAAATTGGTTGGGTTTAAAAACAAAAACAAAAAAATATAATATATTTTAACCTAATTACCATTCACTTCTTTTTTTTTTGTTTTTATTTTAAACCTAATTACCATTCACTTCTTTTTTTTTGTTCTTTTTTTATTTTATTTACGTGGGGTGTCCGGGCCAACTTACGCGCACCACGACTAATCCTCATGGCCCACTGAACATCCTGCAAGCTCAATAAGCAAGTAAGACATCGCAGGGGTGACAGACATAGACGGTAAGGCTCGAACCCAGGTGCAAAGGAAAGAGACAAGCCCCGTCCACCGCTGGGTTAGAACCTCACGCGCAATTACCGTTCACTTCTTAATATATAATGAAGTGATGAAGTTAGTCACTCTATCAATCTATTAGGTATTACCAAATTAAACTTGATTTTAATTTTTGTAGCCTTTAAATTCATTAAAAAAGAATTTGAAATATAAAAAATTTGTTTTTAAATTTTCATACTTATATTAACTTGATATAATTTGATAAATAAAATTCTTTACAGTTATTAAACCAAGATTTAAGGAATGTTTCGAATCATTAACTTAAGTTGACTTGTTAATTATTTTTTTAAAATATTAAAATGATATTATTTTAAATTTCTTTAAGTTAAAAAGTTTTTGATTGTGTTATGAATTAATTAAAAATTTTAATTAAATCATAACAGATTAACTTTTCTTATTTACCTGGCCGTGGCCAAGCCCCGAGGCGGTCATGCCAGTCAAGTTTAATTATATGGGAAGATCCAACCATGAATTTTGTTTTAAGGATCCATTTGATAATCTTATAATAGTTGGGGACCAAATAAGTTATTGTCCCAAAATATAGAACTAAAATAAACCACTCCTCACAAGAACACTTTCAAAGACCGACTCTTTAAAGGCCTTTTCAATCTCCCAAATCTTCATCAAACCCTAATCAATCAGTCAATGGCGGCCTCATCATCTTCTCTGTCCTCTGATTCCTCCTCCTCTTCCCGCAACCGTCGTCGGCACCGCAATCGCCGGGACAGAGATTCTCTCAAGATCCGAAAAAAGAGTAGCAGCAACCATAAGTCTCAGTCCAAACGCCGCCGTAAACACCACCACCGCCACTCATCTTCCTCCGATTCTTACGATTCCTCTTCAGATTCTTACTCCTCCAGGTTCTATAAAACAAACCCGCATGTCAAGTTTCTTTTTTCGATTCTCTGTGTTTTTCCCATCCAGATTTTTTTTTTTAATTATCGTGGTAAATTGGGTTTGCTTTGTTTGGATTGGCTTCTCTGTTTAATCATGTAAATTATGATCGTTGTGGGTTTTGTTTTTGTGATATATTAGACTCTTGTTGGTGTAATTGAATTTGCTTTGTTGTGTATAATTTCTTGTAAGAAAATGACTGGATTTTTTTTCGGGGAAGAGTAGAATTTGGAGCTTCGCACATTAATGTCTGCTAAAAATATCCCATGTAGGCCTTTAAAGTATGCTACCTTTTGGTTTAATTAATGTTTATGACGGTGATCAAAGTGTTAGATTTAAGGAATCTGATTGAATAGGAGACTACATTATGAAATGGAACCGTGTGGAATAGTAACGCTCCAATTGTTTTGAACGTGAATTGTGTTGTAATTATTGATGAAGTTTGTTACTTTTTGGTGTAATTTTATGTTTTTCTAACTCAATTTTTGCTGGATTGGGTTTTTGTTTCTTGCTTTGGAATGTGTTATGATGTGTCCATTGCTATATCTTTAGTTGGAAATTGCAATGATTTAAAATACTAATTAATACCTTGTGTTTTGTTATTGGGTTAATGATATAGTTCTGATAGTGAGCACGAGACATCTAGTCGTTTAAAGAAGCTCAAAAAGAATGACAGATCAAAGAAGGTGGTTGTTTGATACTGCTATTGTTTTTTGACTGTCTTTTTTATATTCTCCGCTTGTGTGACAGTTTGTGTTAGTTCTCTTTTGTGTTCTAGAATAAAGAAAAGGATCGAAGTAAGAGCCATCACCATAAACGTCAGAAGCAAAAAGTTAAAGAGGTAGGCCTGTAATCTCCCGTTTGTTTTTTAGTTCCATATGACTGTTCAGTTTTAAAAAAAATGCAGTGCTTTCCATCTATCTATGTTATGGTGATTATACTTTAGAGCATCTAAGAGCTGTAAATGCTGGACACTTTCTTAATTTTGCACTGTTTTGATTGGTTATCCTATCTAGAAGTGATCACTAGTTAATTCAAAGTTGTTGAGAGTAGATGTAAACATGTAATTTCAATATTTGAGATACTTACATTAAGTTTTTGCCTGCGTTATGGTTGGCTCTTTGAAAATTGGAGCCGGGGCCTGGGACATGATGTCTGGGTGCTTGGTTGGTTTGCCTGGATTTTGTTTCAGCAGCAGGACGAGAGGAATAGCAGCCCTGTACAGCTTTCTAAGGTATATAGCAGTTTAGTGAATTGTGATTTGCGTTCTACCTTTTGCTCTCTTAGTTTTCATTAACCTTGTTATTGTCATGCCCTTGTAACAGTTTCTAGGGCGTGACAAAGAGGATGGTGTGCGTCGTAGCGCTGTTTCTGGTAAAAAGGTGAGTCTTCACTCCTTTACTTTGCTGTGAACTTTAGAGAGATTGAGAGTTACACCGATATTTAGCATCCTTTCTCCAATTTTCCTCTCTAGATTTTATTGAAACTTGAGAAATCAAAGGAGGACAAGGCAGCAGAAAATAAAAGGAACGAATTGTTGAAATTTCTAAATGCCAGTTGTGATTGATGTTTTGGAGTTTGGGTTCAAGTACACAAAGCCACTAGGCAAATGGAGGAGTTGCTCTAGGAGGGCAGTCTACTAAAATATCGTTGGGGACAAGGTATTCTAATGGAGGTGCATTACAGGTTATCCACTATGGATTTGCTTTTACCATTGAAAATGTAAAACACTGTTAAATTGATCTCTTGAGCCTGAGTGGCTCTGACAGTGAGGATCCTGATTGTGGGTCTAGTGATGTATCAGGTCTGGTATTCCTGTAAACGTTATTTTTTTTTATTTATATTTAAGTTTTTTTATTATCCAAGCTGCAGATAGCGTTCACATATGCATATATATGGGCAATTTTATTTCATATGACAAGCTTGGCTGTTTTTGGCCACCACTGGAGATTTAGTTGAATTCTGTAGCTTTGATTATTATTTATATTCAACTATTCATTTCCTGTGATCTGCAATGGTTAGGAGTTCCGACCTAACTGTTGTTACATTCAAGTTTTTCTGAATTTCTTCTGTTTTTCCTTTTTTCCCATTTAGTTGCATCGAAACTCTGAATCATATTTTAATGCTTCATATTATATCTTTGCATGTCTACCTAATCAATAGCTTTGATAATTGTTCTAGCATATGACGTCCTTCATGATATAATAAACCATGGTTGTGATAATTTGTGAGTTGTGAGTCCCAAGTTTTGAGGCATTTCAGTGTCAAATCACTTAGTGTGATATTGATAAGCTAGGAAGCACTTGATTGCCATCTCGAGTATCTGGAGAAAAGAAATTGACGCAATTCAAAGATGATATATCTCAATCTTTCATGACATAAATTTATTCTATTCCAAAACTAACCTATAGTAAAATAATTTTATGTTTATATCTAAAAACAATATTTGCCTTTTTGTATTTTCTTATATGTTTTGAGATGCTAATCAACGCCACATTAGAGAACTCTTGGATTGTGCTTACGTAGGTGGGAATTAATGAATGTTATGAAATAAGTTATTAGAGAAGTCTTGGATGGTTCCACGTAGTTGGGAATTATTGAATGGTAAGCTTGACAAGCCCTTTTTCCATTTAGGTCCCCTATTTGAAATCCCATATCTTGATTTCCTCTCTATTATGTGGGATACAGCTCATGGATTTTTTACCAAGAAAGGGTATAGCTTATGAATATTCCAATCTAGGCCAGAGAATTTCCTAATTTAGATAGTTAACAAGCTTATGAATGATTTCCCTTAAGCATGAATAGCATCCTCAAATCCTATTGAGATAATACCAAACCATTGCGCAATTCTAGACTCATGTGCAAAGTTGTTAATCCTTGACCTGGATGAATGTTTGAATTGATAAAAAATAGTTCGATGAATGTTTGAGTTATAAGTTAGATGAGTTAACTTGAATAGATTTAAATTGATAAAAAAGAAATATTTTCTTTTTAAATTAGAACTATATTTTAAAAAAATGATGTCTGGATTGCGAAGTAATTGGTTCCGGTTGTGCTTAGTTTAATGTCAATAGTTAGTTTAGTATCAGTTGTCATGTGCTATTTATTTTATAAGTAGAAATGAAAGAAAATAAGGGCAGTATAGTCATTCGGTTATCCTACCTGCTCTCTCTATATATAACCTCTTCTAAGAAAAGGATTGACTAGGGTTTTACAACCAGAGAGAAGTTCTGCCAGCCACATTTTTAACTCTTGGAGTCAGTTTAGATCTTCATGGGTACTATTTTCATAAGATTTCGTTCATAAGATTTTTTATGTTTTTAGCTGTGTTTAATGACTCGCATGTAGTTCTTCCTGGGAATCCATTTTGCAGTTTCCAGGATTTTATGTGTGCGTATAGCAAAACTGAATACTATCCTTTCTGCTTGAGCCTTCCCCCTGATATTTTCATGGAGCTGTGCTTCAATGTTATTGGATTACAATTTTTCCAAGATATGAAACATTTGTCATAGCTTTTTACTCATGTCAAGGCAGAGGAAGTGAAGAAATTCAATTCCAAGAATTTCCCTTGTTCACTTTTGATTCATAAACAGTCAACAATAACCACTTTGACATCCAGAGACACGAAAGTTTCACATTTCACTTTCTATATTGAGTTATACAAAAAATACTTGAGTGTTTTGATCCTGAAAATCTAGACTCGTCTAAACAATTAATGTAGGATAGAAGTCCTACCCCAACTTGATATTGGAAGGATTAAGGGAAAGAAACAGGTTTATGATGGCCTGATGCCTGGCCAAAGGCGGCCTAGTGAACTTCTTAATTAAAGGAAAAAATGTTATCAGAATAAGAAGTTCCCGAGTCCTGCCATGAAAAATCCCTTTCCTATAGTAGTTTAAATACATCAAACTGGCCAAGTGGCTAGCATATATTTAAACCCGTGTTTGTGTTCTTCAATTGGTTGATCTTTCTTTCCATAAGGGCTGCTATTACTCTTTTTCCAACAAAGAATTAATAGAGAAAAGGTCAGTTTTTGTTTTTACGGTTCATGTAATGGATGTTTGAAGAGTTGGACCCCTCCCATGGCAAGCACCAATTACTTATGGTGCAGGGGAACAACCTCCAATCTTAGCTAGGCAGGTGAAAGAAAGTATGCGGAAATACAAGAGGCGTGAATGGATAGGTGACCGATCAAATATTCAATATTGACAAATGAAGCGAGTAACACTAAAGTAAATTCATGCATCAAAATTCATATTGAATACGTCTTCTGTTTTATTCTCAGGAAATTTTCAATGATATTTAATCTTTCTGTAATTTTTGAAGTACATTTCTTGTTTTGAGATCCAATGGAAGAACTTGTAGATTTGTGCGCAGCAGCCACCTCAGGTTAATTTCCGGCTAGCTTTTTGATGACAACTAAAGAAATAGAGACTTGCTTATTAAACTCTGTTTTCATAGCGGTCAAAGGTGATATCGTCTTTGATTTTCCAGCTAACACACCCTCACATGTCTCCGCCGAGTCTATGGCAGCTCCAACCCATGTACTGGCATCACCATAACGATTACAATCCAAAGCTGGCAGCGACTCCTTAATCTTTTCAATTGCAGTCAGGTAGAACGCAGAACAACTTTTAAGTTTTTTCAGAACGCATTTATCTGAAGTTGTTTTTAGCAACACACTGATGTGGTTGTGGATTCTGGTGCCATCTTTCAATGCTTTCTCTACTGCAAGCTTGGCCAAGCCATGGAGACCAAGTCCTTTGTTTTCCAGGAAGAATTCGACTGTAGATTTGCACAGCTCCTTGTCTAAGGTTTGGCTACAACCTTCAGTTATCAAGCGTTCATTCTGGACTAACAGATTGATGTGTTTTAAACCACTCAAGCATAGCAGGCCAAACTTTGCTTTCATGAATGTAAATGGGGAATTTTGTTGTAATAGTTCCTCGAATCTATCTTCGCATTTCGTTGAGTTAGCCATGGCATCCGTGATACATGTCTTGGCATCATTGTAATTTTTAGCATCCAAAGCAGCCAGCGATTTGTTAATAAGGCCAACTGCATCTTTGTAGTTGGTAGAACAACCTGTTAGGCTTCTCGTAGTGTATATGTCCGAAGTTTTGAGTAGCAACGAGTTGACGCGGTGGTATATTGCATTCCCATTTGATATTGCTTTCGTTAATGCAAGCCTGGCTAGGCCTTTGAAATCAGCATTTGGAATTGCATTCTTTCCTGCAAGTTCGGCTATGGTTTTGAAATCAGCTTCTACTTTGATTTGATTCGTGGAATTTTTGTGGGCTTTAGCAATGAGATGATTAGAAGAGAGGACAAGAACTAGGACAAAGCAAAATGGAATGAACCCATGTAAAGAACCCATGCTGTTCAATCGGTTCAAGCGGCCAGGATTTTGCACGAATCAGTGTGTTGAAGGAAGGAATGGTCGATTGGAAAAACAAGGACAAATTAGAAGATTATATAGCCTTCATTTCTTACAACATTTTTCTGTTGTGTTCCTATTTTTACGTAGGAGAAAACTCAGAAGTTGAAGTAAGCTATTTTTGAACTATTTATATGGCTGTCTTTCTTGATTCTAGAGTTGTTGCTTCTATTTACATGGCGTTGTGGTTAAATTTGGGTTGAAGCTTTTAGGCTAAAAACAAGGAGTAGCTCAAAAACTGCCATGCCTCAGATTGGAAGCAAAATGATCCAAAAATGGCTTGGAAGCTCCAACAAATTTTGCGGTTATCTTTTGAACATGAATTGTTAATAGCAAATTCGTTTCCTTCTCAGAGAAAGTAGTTAGGACCAGCTCAATTCACCTTCTGAGTTGTCTTCTATGTAAAAATAGGAACAAAACAGAAATTTGCTGTAAAAATTGAAGGCTATATAATCTTCTAACTTGTCCTGATTTTCCAGGCAACCATTTCTTCCTTCAATACACCGAATCCTGCTCGATCCCGGCTGCTCGAACCGATTGAACAGCCATGGGTTCTTTTCATGGGCACATTACATTTTACTTTGTCCTAGCCCTTGTCCTCTCTTCTAATCATATCCTTACTAAAGCTCACAAAGATTTTGAATCTGAAAGTGAAGCGCAAGCTGATTTCCAAAGCCTAACCACACTTGCACAAAAGAAGACCTCGTACAAATATTCTGCCGAATCGGTACTGGAAAGCCTAACCAAACTTGAACAAAGGAAGACCTCGTACAAATCTTCTGCCTAACCAAACTTGCACAAAAGAAGACCTCGTACAAATCTTCTGCCGAATCGGTACTGGAAAGCAAAGGAGCAGTGGATTTTCAAGTTCTAGCGAAACTTACAGGAAAGAATGCAATTACAAATATTGATTTCAAAGGCCTAGCCAAGCTTGAATTAAAGAGTGCAATAACAAATTGTACATAAATTTATAACCGCATCAACTTGTTGATAAGGAAAACTCAGTATCCATGCATTAAGAGATGCCTAACAGGTTGTTCTGCGAACTACCAGGATGCAATTGGCCTGATTAAGAAATCATTGGTTGCTTTGGATGCTAATGGTTACGCTGATGCTAACATATGGATCGCAGGTGCCTCCGCACATTCAACAGCATGTGAAGATAGTTTCCAGGAACTAGTACACCAAAATTCTCCAATTGCTGATATGAAAACAACAGTTTGACCAGCTAAGCTCGAGTGCTTTAAAACAAATCAATTCGTTAGTCATAAAGGAACGCTTGATAACTGAAGGTTGTAGCCAAACCTTAGACAAGGAGCTGTGTGAATGTACTGTTGATTTCTTCCCGGAAAACAAAGGACTTGGTCTCCAAGGCATGGCCAAACTTGCCGTAGAGAATGCTTTAAAATATGGCACTAAAATACACAACCACATCAGCAAGTTGTTAAAAACAACTTTAGATATAAACGTTCAGAAAAACCTTAAGAGTTGTTCTGAGTTCTACATGTCTGCAACTGACAAGATTAAGGACTCACTGCCAGCTTTGGATTCTGAACGTTACGGTGATGCTAGCACATGGGTTGGAGCTGCCACTGACTGGGCGGAGACATGTGAGGATATCTTCGCTGGAAAATCTCATTTGACCTCTATGAAAACTGAGTTTGAGAAGCTAGTTTCTATTGCTTTAGCATTCATCAAAAATTTGGCAGGAAGTTAACCTCTTGTGTCTCTTGCACACAAATTTACAAGTACTTTCATGGGGTCTGAAAACAAGAAATGTAGTTCAAAATCATAGAAATACAATCATCATTGAAATTTTCATGGAAATGAAACAGAAACTTCTTTCAATATGAAATTTAACGCATTACTTAACTGGAGCATCAAATTGTCCAATAATGGTCCAGGAGACTTTTTAAGAGATATTTTTTCTGTTTTGTATTTTTTCTATTACAGTTTGAGACATACTTTCTTGTTCTCTATTTTTTTGTTTGTACTAGAATTAGCACGTATATATACACTTTTCTCGTTCTTTAATGTTTAACGTTTCGTGTTTATTTGATACGAATTTTCCAAAACAAAAAAAACTCTAGAATCAAGTGAAACAGATCTCAAAATGAAATCTTCTTTTATCCAATGAACATTTATCCATGTCTAAAAGTTTATCTTTTAGCCCCTTCATTACATGAGATGCCTAAATATTTTCAGTAAACTTGAAGAAATTTGGCCTTGATAATGTCTGAAGTATTTGATGCACAGCTGAAACCATTCCTTTAAAATGTCTCAGAATAGTGCCACGCATTATTACTAGTTAGCTTTGCTGGTAAAGTCACTTAACCTAATATGGGTTGCTAGTAAGAAGTGAATGAGCTAGGTTTATTTCGATGGATGAAAAAATGAGAGCATCTAGTAGTGTTGTGAGTACACAACACTTGATCACTGCCACAGTTCCTGAGCTTATCTGTTGTCAGTATTTATGCTGTCATAAGCTGAGAAGGATAAAAATCAGAATCTTGGAAATGCGTAACACCCATCAATGGGAGCACTAAAATTTAAAAACTTGTATCATCACTCAGCCTCTCATTTATTAGTTGCTTTCTGATGCTCCACAATCCTCTTAAATTTTAAAGCACTCTATATATGAAACAGGCCATGCCACAGAGTTCTCAGGTAACGTTAAAAACAAAATTAGGAAGAAAGAAAAGGATCTGTAGAGCAGTGGAGAGATGGAGGGGATAAGCCATAGAATGGTGAAGGTGAATGGAATTGACATGCACATAGCTGAGAAAGGCCAAGGTCCTGTGGTGATATACCATGCTGTCGCACCAGATCTTAGGGGATATGGTGACACTGAAGCTCCACCTTCAAGCTCTAGCTATTCTTGTCTCCAAATAGTTGGTGACCTTAGTGTACTTATTGACCACCTTGGGAGAGAGCAGGTGTTTCTTGTTGCACATGACTGGGGTGCTGTGGTTGGATGGTACTTGTGCTTGTTCAGGCCTGATAGAGTGAAGGCATATGTCTGCCTCGGTGTTCCATACAGGCCAAGAAATCCAAAAATGAAACCAGTGGTGACCATGAAACTTGCCTTTGGAGAAGACTATTACGTGTGCAGATTCCAGGTTTTTGTTTTCTTTAGCATATAATGCATGGTTTGAACTTCAATGATCACAATTTTTTAAGGGACTTATGGTGTGGCAAATTTTTGGATTCTAACATCTACAAATTTGGCAACTGTTTGTGTAGTTTTAGTGTATGAAACAATTAATGCTGACAGCAATCACTTTGTCATCTGCTAAATCTTACATAATATTCTCATCGAATTTACTCTCCGGAAAATCTCGTAAGAATTGAATGAATAAGTGGATCTTACTGCTAAGTCTCATATTTTTGTGAATGTCAGTTCGGTAAGAATGCTACAGACAATTAGAGGACTACTCAAAACAAGTTGAGTAGGGTTTTGGTATGAACTAATGCAAAAGTACTGTCTATTTAGTGTTGTCGGAACCAGGAGTGATTGAAGCTGAGATTGCACGTGCTGGAACTGCAGAAGTGCTAATGAAAATTTTAACAGATCGCAATCCAGGTTCCCCTTGCTTGTCTCAAGAAAATCCTTTCGGAATCTATCCAGAGAATCCAGTAACCCTGCAGCAGACCTTGCTTTCTGTGCCACAAAATATAGCCAGAAGGGGTTCACTGGAGGTTTGAACTACTACAGAGCTCTGGATCTGTATGTTTTTTCCTTTCCTAACTAGCAACTGAACCGAATGTAAACCCTCAACAACTTGGTCTAACAGTTACAATCTGGTGGTTGTAGGAACTGGGAGCTCACAGCACCGTGGACCGGGGCACTGGTGTGGTTGTAGGAACTGGGAGCTCACAGCACCATGGTTAATGAAGTTCCTGTAAAGTTTGTTGTGGGAGATCTTGACATGGTCTATACTATTCCAGGGCGAAGGAATTTGTAAACAATGGAGGATTCAAGCATCATGTGCCATTGTTGGAGGAAGTTGTTGTGATGGAAGGAGCCGGTCATTTCATTAACCAAGAGAAGGCAGAGGAGATCAACACTCACATTTATGACTACATTAGCAAATACTGATCTGTTTTGTTGACGTTCAAGAACGCATCCAGAACCATATTCTGCAACCCTCCACGCTTTGGGATCTCCCTTGAATAGAAGAACTCGGTTCCAGAGCACGAGATTATCAAACTAGAATAACCTTGTTGTATTGCGAATTGTTGATTTACAAGAAATACATGTTTCAATTCACCTGCTAGCTGAAATTGATTTCTATCAAACTAATCAGGCTTACCTTTTCATTCACTGGCTACAATTATTAAATTGCAGAACCTTTTTAATGTGGGTTGGGATTAAAATGCTTTGATCTGATCTGAACAATATTACTGTCTCTTGCAACTTTAAACACGAGATGAACAGAAATGAAGCTGAGCCGACTAAAGTTCTAACGAGCCGACTTAGCTACTAGCCTACTATACATTCACAAATAGTGGACGTTTAACAAGCTGTTCATTCCGCTCCTAGCCATCACACAGCTTAAGTGGCTCATCCGAGAAAGAGCCAGTTTAAAAAGGCTAGCACAAAAATACCTAGCAACAAATACAAGCGAAACGTAACACCTGCTTCAGGCTGCAAAGAGAAGCTCGTTCACAAGACAGGCTCAAAACCAAGACTAGAACAGACTACTACCATGACAATGGCATGGGCACAAATTTTGACTGACGGTTGTATAAAGAAAACAAAACTTGGGGCCGCTATAGGAAGAGATGTATAAAGAAAACAAAACTTGGGGCCGCTGAGTATCATATGTTCCATGAGTTTTAGTTCAATATTGTTGAGAAAATTGAGATCCTCATTGAGTATGACCAAGCATGACTGCTGAGCATTAAACAATCCAAGCTTATAAATAGATAACCAAAGTTAAAATATCATGAAAATGATCCTTGGATACCTAGAGTTGCACAAAAATTGGAACAGTCGATCAAAACAAACTGCCTCACACTCCCACTAAAACAAAATTAAACCCTGAAGCCCCTGCTGTTCCTCCTTCCTCTAGCTCTCTCAAACTTCCTTCCCTTGGCGCGCACAAATGGTTTGGTATGGCTGTGTGGCACACCTGGAGCTGGGCCAAAGTGTTTGACAGCTTCACGAGCATTCTTTGGACCTCTGAGGAGAACCTATAAAACAGAAAAACAAAAAAGGGATGAACAAACATCCACCTCAAGAATGAAGTTTGGTAATTCATACAATTGCCAGAATTCAGAGGATGGTTGACATTGCCTCATGTGCAACAAGAAACACCTGCTCTATCCCAAGGTGGTCAATAAGTCCACTAAGGTCACCAACTATTTGGAGACAAGAATTCAGAGGATGCATTGCGACCACCAAGATAACAGAGAAAATCACAGCAAGTGGCAACACATAAATCATATTAAACAAAAGATAAACTCCAACACAAAGAAACGTTAAAAGCATACCCATCTTGAACCCAAAAGCAGTAATAGATTACGAACAGCAATCAAGAAAATCAAATGATCAAATCAATTAAACTAAGACCAATCATCAACAAACATAATAAATATAAGATGAAGTTCTGCAATAAAACAAATTAACTAACAAACTAAAAGGAGTACATACTGTGTTCTGTCCCAATGGAGCTCTCAAAGCAAGCTGATCAAATGTCAAGCACTCTCCTCCAGCCTTCTCAATCCTGGCCCTAGCTGTCTCTGTAAACCTCAAAGCAGTGACTTTCAATGCAGGCACCTCATAGACTCTAATATCATCAGTTACTGTCCCAACAAGCACAGCAATCTTGTCCTCCTATGCATGAAACAAACAATGAAATAAAATACTAAATAAACAAACAATACAAAAACACTTTAAAGGTAAAAACTGCTAACCTTTCCCTTCATGAATGTAATAAGCCTAGAAAGAGAAAGTGGGGCCTTGTTAATCTTGCTCATAAACAGCCTCTTCAATATCACAGCATTGAACCTGCTTCCAGTTCTCCTCACAAGAAACCGGTACAGCTAATAAAAAACCACGGTTTCAAATCAATCACATTATACATAACATCCTTCTAAAGATTACAAAACAAATGGGGATTTTGACTAATCAGTAAAAACAAGGGTCTGAGGCCTAAGCATAGCATACACTTCCAAAAGAACATAGAAGATTTAAACTTCGTAGCAAAAACAGACATGGGTTTTTCACGAAAAGGACTATAAAAAAAAAAAGATCAAAACTTTACAGAAAAGTAGACATAGGTTTTTGAAAACTAACCTTAACAAGAAGCTTAAGATAGATATCATCCGACTTCGGAGCCGTACGTTTGGTCTTCTTGGACTTACCTCCTCTTTTCAAATCTATCCCCTGGAAATGAAAAAAAAAACCAACAAATCAGTAACTGAACCATATGCACACAGATACGTCAAGATAAGTATATTCGTAGGGATAAGGGAGGCACCATTCTTGAAGCTTTAAAGCTACCCGCCGCTACTGCTAGTGGTGCTGCTGATGGGAGATGGAAAGGGGAACAAAATGAAGCTAGGGTTTTTAAGTAGTTATATAGTTTAATCTATGTGTGTAGGTGATGTATATTGGTGTTTATGAAGATGCATCATTAACCGTCCACGTGGGCAACAAAGTTTGTGATCTTATGTAGGGTTTGATTTGATTGGGCTTGATCAGATAGAGAATAGTTATGGTTAGTTGGGCTAGGAAGTAGTCTGATTTTCTAAGATTTAATGGATTTTGGACTTCCCAGCCCAATTCGACCGAGTAAAATATTTTTTTTCTTGGGGTCGAGAATAATAATCATAACAGATATAAAATTTAAAAGAGTGGTTAAATATGTTTTTCTACATTATTTTTCATAAATTTTATATGCTACATTAAAAATAAAAAATAAATTTGAAAAAATTATTTTAATATATTTTAATTAAAAAAATTATATATTGCATTACCAAACACATGATCAGATAATTGTGTATTTAATAATTTTTAATAAAACAATGTTTAAATTATTTAAGATTTTCAATTATAATCATGTAATGGAAGAGGCTGCCTGTAACCACTCTCAAATTCATGTACAAAAGTGCAAAAAATTGTTGTAACCCTAGCTAAATAACGTCGGTCAATGTCTTGAAACAGAAAAAACAAACATAAAAAATAGATAAAATTAAAATAAATTTATCTCTAAAATTATTTCATCCTTTTGCACTTCCATCTTTATTTTTTATTGTCTTTGCATAATCTATCCCAATAAAGCAACCAAACACTACCGGTATGATTCACCAGACACCCATCGGTTTTAAATTTTCTTTACTGTGTAATAAGAGAGTTGACAGCAATGGCCTTCCTTTTTCCAGCACTAGATTGTTAGTTCTTATGAAGCTAATTCTATCTCACTCAATTGGCCTTATTTCAATGAAATTTGACAGGGGCTCAACATGCAAACTAATCAGACAAGTTAATCACAAAAGAAAGTAAGATTTCGCCACCGATATTGTCAAGATATCCGAGAAAAGTAATATCCATGATCGCCTCATTAAAGGATTGATCTACATGGTAAAAGCAATTTCTGTCGAGTGTACAAGGAACGAAAGGAGACAACATGCAGAGAAATGTTCACATAATTCCTTCAGCAACATCGGGAAACAGGACAGCTGCTTAGCCTTGATGAATATATGCTCTTTGCGACTCGTACTAAAGACCATACAGCAGTTGGTCTTGGAAAAACCTCAATCTAAACGCTCCATCTGCATAATACAATTAGTAAACTTGATTATATTTGTTACTAATCAACCACATCATGCTAACTTCTTTCGTCATAAAATGCCAATTTGATAATAAGAAAACAGTATATACTCCAGTGTGTGTGTGTGTGTATTAACAAGCCCATCAAGCGATCCAGTGCGCGAATCTTAAGTTCTCTTCATGTCATAAAATTGCTCCAACTTTAACATTAGGTTCAAAGGGATGGATTTTGTCCATCTTAACGGCCCTTCATAAAGAAATTGTCCTGCTATGTATTTACATAAAACCAGATCAACATGGCATTTGGATGAACAAAGAGTTGAAGATTTTATGATGACCTACCTTCCAAAGACCATCATTGAGATAATGCATGTTGTCAACGCCAATTCCCTTGTTGATTGACTTTCTGTGAACCAAAGAAATGCTTCTAGTTATAGCATATACCAATCACAAAGGGAACAGACAATATTATCAGTGGTGATTTACAAGTCTCTTATGCATCTGTTTTATTTTATAGACATTGGAAAATATAAAACTATAGCATGGTCAAAATCACTCCATCACTCTCCTAGAGCCCAGTTCACCGCCCACAAAATTGAAATATCAAGTTTGAATAAGTTAGAAAATAACTCACATGTCTTTTGCTGACATTTTTGTAAAGCCAATAGCAAGGGCATGTTGCTTTCCTTCAGCCATTATAGCCTGGAAGTATTTAGTTTGACAAATTAGGAATACATGTACACATTTTTGTCAAGGAAAAGCAAAGAGTAACAGAACTCCTATGCAGCATACTAGAACCGAAACAGCAACCGTAAATATCATGATTTATGAAAAGAACTGATCAGGAATAGACATTCTAAGTACAACACAGTTCAATTTCATACCACTGGAGTTTCAGCATCCACTTCATCATCTAGTGCACCACCAGGAGATGTGAGTCCAGGACACATTATGTTAGCACCAGCAAGGACAAATTTTATTGCACCCCTATCAACTTGCAATTTTTTCATTATGTTTGGAGCTGTAGAACCAGCAATTCAAAAAAAAAAAAAAAGCACGTCAGGATGTAAGCTTCCATAAGAACAACACGTAAAAAGCATTTGACAGGTCTTCCCATTAGAAAAACTAAATGAAAAAACATAGAGACAAATAGCTCCCAGTTCTTCTTAACTTGAAGCATCATAAAAAATATAATCCAAAGGCCCAATTTTCTTTTCCTGGTTACTATCTCTAACAAGTTCAGAGACAAATACATAAAAACTCTCATTCTAATTCAAAATAACATTACTACTTTCTTATAATCTTTAAATCATTCCAAATGCCCAAAACTAATACCTGAACAGAACTATCCACTTCTTCCCATATAAATCTTACAGTAAAACTAGTGGCTGTTAAGAGCAAACTGAACCAGATTTGAGTCTAGAGATGCATCCAAAACCATAACAGCAAAGGAAATCAAAACGTAAGGAGAAATCAGGCATGCACCATCATCCATATTCACAAACAACAATAACACCTTTTGTTTTAAAAAACCACATTTTTCACCCACTACATTACGACAAACAGACTAGGCATTTCTACGACAGCATACATAACTTCCTCATCATTTACACATAACAATAACAATAAACCACATCAATCAAGAAATCCAAACCTAAAAATTCACTACTTAACAAAATGCACACGGTAATAACATCATTAAAATGTCATTTCAGAGATAGAAAGAAACACTTTTGCTTACACTGATGAAGAAGTCGGAGCGTAGGCATGTAAGGTCCATCCCTTATATTAAAAAACAATGGCACATTATTCACCACCACCAGATTCAAATGATTCTGACTGCATTACAATCACAGTAAAAAATCAAAATCAAAATCAAAATCAAATTCATCAACAACAAAAGCCCATCAATTATTTCACACAGGTCAAAAAGAACATTACCATTTAACAACAATTAAAGGCGATTTCTTGGGCAGAAAATCATCCAATACTGGTTCAAGTCCTGGATACTGAAAAAACAAAAAAAAATCAAACTTTAGAGAAAATTCATGAAAAAATTGAAAAATAAAAAATGGGTTTTTCTTCTTGTTTAATTTCGAACCTCATCGGCAATGCTTTGTCTAATTTTGCGTTGAACTGATGCTTTCACTTGGTTTTGTGACGATACTTCATCACTTGAAAACCTGAAAAAATATAAGAAAAAAATGAAAAATGCTGAGGAAAAAAAAAAGTGAGAGACCGAGAGAAGAAATGATGGATTACTTTTTGAACATTTTCGTAAGATTAAAGAGTAAGAGATTGATTAAATTTAGGGTTTTTGTAGGGTTTGGATCGATCCAATCTGCAAATACAGATTTCTTTTTCTTTAAGCGGTTAATTAAAATTTAATGAGGGTGCAGTTAACTTAACCGCGCATGTTAGACTCGTGTGCTTATTCCAGGAGCTGCGCGCGGGACAAGCCTGTGGGCTGGGTTTTGTTTGGGCTTGATTGGTATTTATAAGAAAAGATAACTTCCCTTGTAAAAAAACAATCCAAAACAACAGGTGACAGGTTCGAGATATGGCTTAAGCAAGATTAATCCAAGTTAATTTATTTTAAAGAAAAAATTAAAAAAAAAATCAGAATTAGAGTTTAACCAAATCATGATTTTTTAAAACATGATCGGGTTCTAAGTTATCCTACCGGGTTTGCCCATTTAAGAGAGCGAGAGAGGCGTGAAGGCATGCCCATTTGAAAGATGTTAAACCTTGCTCAGAAGTGTAATATAAATTATTTTTTAAAATAATTTTTGTATATAAAAATATATTAAAATAGTATTTTTATTATTTTTTAACATTTATTTTTACCATCAAAAGAATTCAAGACCAAGACATATAAAAGCCTGCCCACCTAAAAAAAGTTAAAACATAAGTGTAGTAAAAATAATATTTTAAAAAAATATATGGAAATAATATATTTTTATTTTTTAAAATTTATTTTTTATATTAATATATCAAACTATTAAAAAAACTAATTTAAAACTAAAAAAAATAAAAATCTTTTAAATACAGTTTCACACAATACAAAACTGCGCTTAGAGAAACAAGAAAACGAGCACTTACTTCACTAGTTGAGAGAACTGTTCCGTTCTCCGTACTAAATAACTACAGCAAAGAAGCAGGGAAAAAAAGTGACAAGAAGGGAAAGGCTGCATCCAAAAGGAACCAAAAATTTCACTTGAACAACACCCTCTTGGAATCCATCAAATTTGAAATGAAAGTAGAGTTAGCGTAACTCATTTCTTTCTGCCATTTGCGAAAACTGTTTTCTGCTTTGTTGATCTTTTCTTGTGTGTTCTTCAACTCCTCCATTTTCTGGTTTTCCTTCTCAATATTCTTTGCAGCTGAAGCTTTCTGCGAAAGAACTGATTGTTTTTTTGCCATTAAGTTTTGGATTGCCGCTTCGATTCTAGCTTCTTCACATGTGAGCTGAGACAGCTTTGACTCTTCCGCTTGTAACGCTAGTTTTGCTCTGTCAATTGTTGCTGATAAATCAGGATTCTCTCTGTAAAGATTCTTGCATTCAGCTTGAGCAGATTTTTTTGAAGACCTTAGATGAAAGACCTTGTTCTTGTGTCCAGTGATTAATTTCCTCACATCTTGAAGAGTGGTGTTTACATCATCCCCAAAATATTGACTGATCAGAACATCAACATTTCTCTCCATATTGCTCAATTGCCTAATATTGTCTGAATTGGAGGTCGTCAATTTGCCCATATCTCTTTTCAGCTTCTTCCAATACTGTCCAGAATTTCCAGCCAGGTCAGGGCTGTTTTGACA